TTTTAATGGACAATATAACTTTATAATTTATATGGACCATACAATTAATTAGTTAAAAAAGAACTATAATTTTTTTTATTATTATTATAGCAATTGTTTATGTGATTTTAAGGTGTTCAATTATGACACTCAGTCAATGAACTAATAATGTATAAAAATCGCTTAAAAAGACAAAAAAATATTTTAAAGAAAAAAATTTCAATAAATTTTTTTTATAAGTATGTAACTTTCACATACTATTTAATGTAAAATTTTAATCAACTTAGTATTAGTAGTAATATTATATAATAATATTAGTTTAAAATTGTCATTACACTTTATTTATTTATGTAAAATGTAACATTTCTACATTAATTGAAAAAATGAGCGGGAAACTTATGAAGGTTTTACTAATTAGGTTTTATTTATTGCTCTGCCAGCAATTATATATACTAGTACGTAACTCTTGCGATGTACGAGCTGTATTTATTTTGGTAAAATTTATAAATAGAAGGCTATTAATATATAAGTTATAATGCATATAGGATTTGTCAAGTAATCATGAAGTGTTCGTAAAAAAAAAAAGTCGTACATTATTAAAAACTTCATTGTTTTTCCATGCAAAATCATTTGGCACTTGGCAACTGTAGACCGATATTCTCTCCACTTGGTAATTGCGAATTACATAAACACCACATTCCTCTAATTCTATGTTGATTTTTGGAATGTCAACACCACAAAATAAAATTATAGTGAAAATATGTAATAACGTGACAAATCTTAGTCTAAATATATAAGATAAAGCATTTCGGATATTGTTCAATATATTATTTTTTTATTAAGCTTTATCTCCTCATGCTGACACGTGTTGTTTTATATATCAAACTATCTCTTTTGCCCTTAGAATGACTAGATATAAAAAAAGTTGTTACCTTGAAGTGTGGATTTATAGTATATCTTTTTTTTTTTTCAATTATTCTCGTTTTTTATTTGAAATCCATTCCAATATTTAAAACATTTTGTTTTGTTATATTCTAACAGATATTTAGAATTTCGATGGTATCTTTTGTAAAACAATATTTACATAAACAATTACGTTAAAAAAAATAACAACGATATTTTAGCATTTTTACTTCAAAACTAACTAAATGAATCGGATGACATGTAAATCTTATTTTTTAAGGAAAAAAATGTTTCATAAATAAATTAATTTGTGTGCATCTATATTTGGTTTTGCATGATCTTGTGTATATCTCTTTTGAATAAGGCAATCATTTTTTTTTGCTTGGATTCATAGTGTATTTTTTCACGTGATAAATAAGGTTATGAAAGTCGTATTTTTTGTATATGTAAATGATAAGCTTGAATGGTAATCGTGTATCTTGAAAATTTGAATGTTATTTATTCAAAAAACTTTTGTTACGTTTTGAATGGACATGACCAAACTGTTGTAGTTATTTATATCACACTTTTATAGCTTATTTTTATTAAAAAAATTATAAAAATAAAATTGAGAATATAACATATTCAATTCCATAGCAGTTTTAAATTTTGTTTTAAAAAAATTAATAAACATATGTACTGTCCATAATTAGAATGAGATTTCATTATTTTTTTTTAATCGGTGATTTTAAAAAATCTTCTATAAAGAAAAAATACACTGAACAAAATCATTACCATAAGATAATAAATTATGATATCATTAAAATGGTTTGATTTTAAATATATNGAGCATGTTTTCAAGCTGCCTGCGGCCCACATGTGTCTGTTGAGACTTTCTTTGTCCAGAAATATAATTATGTCCTAATTTAAGAATTTTGTGTCATGTTAAGGGCAAATTCTACGTTACTGTTGAGGACACTGCTTTCAGCTAATTTTTTATTATTGGATCACACACATGCACACATTTATCTGTTAATCCAATGGGCAATGGTAAAAAATTCAGGGAGGGCACTACCAAAAATTAAATTTATGGATGTAGACATGGCCACGGGTCAACCGGCCTGGACCCGGCCCGGTCAAACCCGTTGACCACGGGTCCGGGCCCGGCTCGAATTTTCAACCGAGCCGGTTCAGGGTTCGGCACGAGAAAAATCAATTGTTTTTGAATTTTTCTATTTTTTTAAAATTTTTCCGGGTCAGACCCGGGTCGGGTCCGGCCCGGCCCGCCGGGTCATGGGCCCGGCACGGGTTTAGGGCGTGCCGGTTCAGGGTCGACAAAACCCAACCCTTCGGCCCGCCGGGCCGGGCCGGGCCCTGAACCGGCCTGCCATTTGGCCATGTCTATATGGATGTTAAGTTATTTTAGAAAATATATAGTATTTGAGTAGGCCCAGGCAGGGGCGTAGCCAGAATTTTTGATAACCAGACCTTACCACGAAGAACTAGTCGAGTTCGAGCCTCAACGAGCCGATCTCGAGTTTTAACAAACCGAACTATAGAAAATTATATAAAGAATCTATTTTCGAGCCTTAACGAGACTTATCAAGCCAAGCCAAGCCGAGCCGAGCCGAGCTGAGCCCGTTAACCAAACGAGCTTTAAATGAGTTCGAGCTCGAGCTCGGCTTGTTTTTCAAATGAGCTCGAGCTCGAGCTCGACTCGTTTAATTTAACAGCACTACTGGTAACATAGTTCGTTTTGACTTGTGAAATGTCAAACTCGACTCACTTGTATATTTAAACGAGCTAAAGTCAAACAACTAATTGAGTTTTTCTATCAAACAAGTTGAACGGGCTCGCGAGACCGACTAAGTTAGAATTTTGGGTTTTGATCTAGATTTAAAAGTTTATTAAACGAGTCGAACCAAGTTTAAACGATCCGAATAGATTCATTAAAGTCTATCAAAAACAATTATTGTCTTGAATAAATTTATTCAAATAAATTTTCTTTAACTAAATTTATTGTCTGCTTGTAGTCATGATTGGCTACATTCCTTTCCAAGTTGGATCTAATTGCTAGATATAGTTTGGTGTTCTTGTAATCAGGATCACTGCATTGTAATGACTTTGTTTTTATTTCATGAGTTTAATAGATTCTATCATTTGGACAAAAAATAAAAATAAATAATGTAATGTAAACACAAAAAGAAGACGAAAAACAACGTAATAAGTTAAGAGGAAAAGCAAGAAGAGATTGAAACTATTTTCAAATATATAATTCATTAATTTAATTAAAAATAAATATAATTTATTTTGGGCCAAAATAAGATTAATTCGTAAGTAGCCTAATTTAACATGAGCTAAAATATTTTTTACTAGTACATATTTAAATGTCCCGACAAATTAAGATCGGACTGAAACCCATCCTAGCCTTTGAGTGGCTCCGCCCCTGGGCCCAAGATTATATAATTCTCATCAATATCATAGGACAAATGATAACTATTTCTGGGCTAGTTAACTTGCCACTGTTTCCAATGTTGTTTTTTCAAGTCTTTCTGTTATATTTCTATTCAAGTATTGTAAGCAGAGCAAGGAACCGCATAAGGATTGTAAACGACGAATAAATATTCAATTTGAATTCGTTAGAATATTCAAAGAACAGTAGCGAGCGATGTACTGTACGCAAAATTGAAGGAGCACATGATGACTTATCATTCACAGCAAATTACCAAACTACCCCATGATGTGGCTTTAAATTCTAAGTGGGTTGTGTTATGAATTGGGCTGCTAGGTAGTCAGCCTGGATAGCTGCTTCCTCGGCCCAAAAGAACTGATTTATCCAATAAAGCCTTGTAGTTGGGTACCTCTCAATACACAACCCGCCCACCGTATTCAATCGATTCTTGTCATTTTTGCTTTCCTTAAATATCTTGACCCCAATTTCTATAAAGACACAAAATAAAACACTTTCGTCAATTTATTAAACTACGACCATACAGACATAAAAATCACTATAAAATGCACGTAAAAATGCGCATGTCAACGTGTGAATATCTACCTGTTCTACTTGACCGTTTTGATAGTTATCGGGTGGAATGAAGGTTGGTTAACACCTAAAAAACTGTCAATTTACAACTGTCATCAGTGGGTTGTTATTGACTAGAGACCAGAGGTCTTCCCCTACTGACTGGAAGTCCTATAAATAGGACATGGTGGAGCTGTAGAAGCACACAATCTCATCTGATTCCATGCATTCTCTCATAGCCTCACGCATATACATACTACTCAATTCTCGACTCCGCCAAAGTTTTTTCGGGATGTCTAAATTCGAGACGAAGCCGTTGTATCCTTAGGGACGAGACGCCTGAATCAGTCAGCACATTACGAAGCATATTCATCTTGCGGAAAGAACAATACTCGCATTATCTGATTCTTTCCGCTTTCAGATTGTATTTTTGTTTTCTATTTTTTATTTCAAGTTGTAAATGCTGAAACGCAATATTCAGTTCATTGGTTTCCCGTTGTAATCGACACTCAGATTATAACAATCACATGGGCCATAATCAATGAAACCATGAGAGACGATCGAGTGATTAGGTGGGCTATCCTACTTAATCATGGAAAGAAAATTAGGGCTAATATCACAGTTTTCAACTTGAATCAGCCCGATGAGTCTATCCGGGATCTTGTCGACCCAGAGTCGGGACCAATCCGGGTGGGTGCTGGGGCCGGGTGACTCGAACCCAGTCAAACTCGATCAAAACATGATCAACCGATCGAATCAACCTGATTTGACTCGATCACTAAATATATATATATATATATATATTGTTTAAAAAAAATAGAATTATGTAAATATTTATATCGTTAATATTTATTATAAGATACAATATTAGTAACACTGTGATGTACAAAATTTATATACAAAACATTTATATCTATTACTTTTATTTATATTTATATGATAAAAATAAGATATATATAATTTTAAAATTTAAAATAATTATCCGGTTCAACAATTGAACTGGTGACCCGATTGTTGAACCAGTGACCCGATGACTGGGAGGCTTGCCGGGTCGATTCTCGGGCTGGGTATAAAAACTATGGCTAATATAACTATCTTTTTGTAAGGAGCTATGTCATGAGACGTAGTTGGAAACCTTTGGGCATTCAATGGGGATGAATATGATCACTTGAGTCACATCTTTATAAATTCATTTCCCAGTTAAAAAAGCATTCATCAAAAACAACTACATACAAATTATCCATCCAAACCAAACAACAAAACATCATGTAATATGTACCCAAACTCAGCCTCATTCTTCTTCCATATTCTTGACAAGAAAAACCTCACCACCGCTCGATATTACGCCATCCAAAAACTCCCGTATTTCATCCGTGTTTCTAAAAGCATACGGTGTGGGAAAGTCACTATCCAAATTGTACCAAATCCGCTCGATTTTCCTCAATGCAATCCAGTGCCGACTTCTCCATAGGCCGCCATACCTTCTCACCGGGACATTAACTATGATGCCGAACAATTTATCCTCTGGTTGGTCGAGATCAATCGAGGATGCCCCACAACGCCGGTCGTGCCAAGTTACCATTTTGCCCCTCTCTTTGAGTGCAGCTATCAAGACATTAATGTCGTAATTCCCTGTGAACACGTTGTGGTGGGACCTGAAGACAACAGACAATGGCGTACGGGCAGACTTGTTCGGGTCCTCCAAGTCAAGTTTTTCAGCTACGGCATTTAGATTGGCGCGGGTAAACGCGTCTTTCTCCTAAATATATATCATTTCACAATCAAACGGTTTAAGTTCACAAAATGAGACTAATTTAGTCATCCAAATTGGCAAAAGAAAACATCTTTCGAAAAGGAGAGACAGATTGATATTTTAATAAAACCTTCACTAAGGATTACATTTTGAATTTGTAATTAATGTCTATCGATACACATTCTTTTACAAATTACATAGTCCAACACTTGAGAAAGGAGAAAGTTACAGAAACTAGTGTACCTGGTATAGATTGTTTAGGGAGTGCAATAAGCAGAATTGTAATTTTTGCCTCTCGTGATATATAAATTTCATCTCGGTATCCATAATCTTCCAAAATCTTCAGTCAAATGAAACGGTGTCTCAGCAATGTCCCGAAATAAATTCAAGACTGGTTCAATAGGAAGAACTCTGTGATCAATACACACTAATAAATTCAACTTATATTTTGGAGCGGCAGATTCAGTTGATGCAAAGGGATCATTACATAATTACCATTGAAAAAGTTAATTTGCGAACCAACCACACAAGCATTCTTACACACACACATTAAAGCATATTCATGGCTGGGGCAATGCACTCAGGAAACCTACTGTAATATACTCCTTGATCAAATTTTTTATACAAATCTAAATATTGTAGGTCTCACAAACCAACACAAAATTAAAACCAAAAACTCACGATTCAGCAAAGATTATATCCAATAATATCACCCGTAAACAACTTTTTTCCTCAATTATTCTAACAATTCATCGTATTTCGTGTAAATGAACTCGTTAGCTCAAAATAAAGCAAAAAAAATAAAATTAAATAAATAAATAAGGCCAACGGAAAGCATCAGAACAGAAATCCAGCTTTTACATGAGCAATAACGGCAGCTAAGACTGTACAATCCATCACAGCTACGAAACACTTCACTAATTTAGTTGTTAAATGCAAAACAAGGAGAAACGAAAGAGAAAGCAGACCTAATAATCTTCCGCTGAATGCACTTCAGAGAAAAACCGGAGGCGCGAGGAAATTAGCGGTGGTCGAAAGAGGATTTGAGAGAGACAGAGAGCTGGCGGAGATTGAGGAGACGGCGGTCGGCGACTTGGTGGATGAACGATGCAAATTGTCTGTAGACGCATAGATTTTTTTCTAATTCGTCTACAAAGTTACTTTTTATTTATTTCAACTTTTCCTTCTCCCTATTATCAATAAAATTATAAAAATGTAGATTTTTCAATAAAATATTCAAAGATAGTTGACTATCAGTTATTTAAATTTATTATTATTTAATTATATCTAAACTACGTGAAGTTTAATTATTATATTATACTCATTCATGGTCTAAAACTCATTTCACTTCACCCAAACGAATCTGCATTTAGTTTACTTTTTCCATTTTAAACAAACATTTTTTTATCAAATAGAATTAACCCAAACCTAAAGTTTGAACTTCAAAATAGTAGTTACATAAATTGTCTTCGTAGTTGCCTAAAGTTTTAAAATCCACCAACAATTCAGTATTTTGAATTTAACTGAAAAGTCTCAATATTTACAAATAATGTTCAGTTTAATTTTTTATTTAAAATATATTTACGATGTTATAATTTAACTCTACAAAGTTAAATGATTTATTAGAATTTATATTCATGTGACAAATTACATATGATGCTTCATAATTCTATATATCAATTTTCTTACTTCAAAGCAGTTCATATATATACTAGATTTTCATCATGCATATTATAACTTTTAAAATTATATAACATATGACTAACTTAAATATATATATATATATTAAAATTTAATACTTTCATATTTGTTATCAAATTGTTGTACATGATATATCAAATTATTCTTTGTGGCTTCTTTGTCAGCCATCATCAAAATTTATCGTAGTAACTATTGTAATTTCAGAAAAATCTTATCTTTAAATCAGTGACGGATCTAGGAATTTTATCGAGGGGGGTCCAACTAATAATAACAAGAAAAAAAAATCAGTTGAAAATAAATAAACCAATACAAGCTAGTATCGATTAAATAAATATAAAAAATATATCCGAGTATTACAAAAATAACTTACGATAACATTGAGAGGTCACAACATTTCTCTTCTATTTTTCATGTTTTGAAATTGTTGCATGATCATAACCTCATTGCTAACATTCTGAAATATATCTTTCTCGATGTATGTCACTAAACAATCATCAAAAACCCATAGCCTATTCGGTTATGTAGTGTACTTTTGATGATTTTCATTGTCGAAAAAGCTCTTTCCACTGTAGCAGTGACAACCGATAAAATCAACAACAACTTAATCAACAAGCAAACTAATGAAAAAACATCATGTTTTCTTCTAGACACCATCTTTTGAGCAAGATCTCCCATATTGGTTACATTCGAGAAGTTTTCATCCAAGTGCATATTAAAAATGAAATTCTCGAATCGGTTTTTTTTATCGATTTCTCAAATCTCAATAATTTTTTTGGGCATTTGTTCCAGCTTTCATCCGATTTTACCTAGTTTTTTTTTTATTTATATTATTACAAATTTACTAAAATACTCCTAATTATTTTAAAAATTTCAGGGGGGTCCAGTGCCCCCCTAGCTAGGCTACAGCTCCGTCCCTGCTTTAAATGAAGGTCCCAAATAGTGTTTTAAATACCGTATCGTTGGTCATACCGGTCTAGTCACCGGTACGCGGTATTATCGGTAGAACCGGTAATATCGGCGGTATTACCGGACTAACAAATATAATAATATTTATAAATATACATAAAAATATATAATACCAAATGCAAAAAAGTAAAAAAATAAATGACCATAATCATTAATTTCAACTTCTCAATGAGATAAAAATAAAATATTTAACTACCAATTTAAATTTTATGTTTTTAAATTAATAATTTTTTTTTTATTTATTATTGACAGGTATTTTAGACCGGTATTTACGATATGATTCCGGTACAAACCGATATAACCATAAATCTGGTATTTTGAGTGTAATTGTACCGTACCAATGGCCGGTATCCGGTATTACCGGCCGGTACGGTACGGTATTTAAATCATTGGTCCCAAAAACGTCGATTTTATATGTCATGCTCTTCCTCACCCAAAGTGCCACCTTCACGAACCGACATCGAGAACAAAGCGTCGGGAGGGGTTCTCGATGCACACTCGCTCTAAGTTAGTTCTGAACTCTTAAATTCGGTATTTGAGAGTAATAACGTGTTATGGTTCTCAAACCTGGTCAAGTTGTATTTATCAACATATATAATATCTCTCTGTAATTCTCTACGTTACCAAGATCTCGATTATTTAGGTAGTATCCTCAAGAAGATTCATTCTATCTTCTTCCCATATAGGGAAAAAAAAAAAAAAACCTCCTTTCCTTGTTAGGATTCTTTCATTATCATTCCACCTTCAAACCACTCAAGTCGACTCTTCAATCCTTCAAGTGCACTCCATTAGCTCGGGTATAGTCAAAACATCCAAGGACCTCACCCCTCAAAATCCAATGTACTAAAAGTCGACCGAGACGCCACGACTTTTGCCTAGACGGTCATTCTAAGCGCTCCAACGGTTAAGTGACGCCTAGGCAAAATAGGGTGGCGCCTAGGCAAGCTAGATGGTTGTGGACGTACTAGCGCCTAGGCTGACAAGACGGACGCCTATACGCTCTTGGCGGTGTCCAGGTACCCTATATTTTTTTTTTCAATTTTTTTAATTTACTTCTAAAAAATAAAAATAATTTTAATTTTTGTACATAAAATTTATATTACTTATATAATAAATATATTAATATTTATTTTCCAATTACTACAATAATTATAAATGCATTAAATTTGCTCAGTCTTTGTATTCGACCACATTAATTAATATATTTTATATAATAGATCATATAAATTATGCTTGATGACAAATATAAATAAATTTATTAATATTTTCTCGAAACTCCAACAATAAATGCAATGCGAATTCGACGTAGCTCTTGAGTTGGTCTAAATCCCATTCTTGCGCTATTCACCAAAATAAATTTATGTGCATTCAAAAGTTAAAACAACCATCGTCAACCATACTAATTTGGCAATAGACGGATTGAGCAAACAAAGGCTCATTTAATAAATTTTGGATCTCAACAAAAATGTCGCATGTATCTTGATATTGTAGAGATTATGAACAATTGCAGATGTTGAAAAGAAAGAGTATTGAAGAATCTATGACGAATCCTCAGTCCTATCCACCATCATCTGCCAAACCTTGCCCAACAGCAACCCCGACTTCATCAACATGACGAATCTAAGGGGCAACAAGGTCGTATTTGACTCCAGCATCTATTGTTTACATAAAAAAACGATGCTATTCTCTATGAAGTATTTGAAATTTTAAAATAAAAACTTTATTATTATATTTTTTAGAAATTAAAGTATAAATTTATTGATTAATACTCGGGCATTACAGTGTTCCTTCTATTTTTGTCATTGTGTACTTGCAAAATTACAAATAGTAGATAAAGTTAATTGCAGATGTTGAGTATGAAATTGTTGGCTCACTGAATTCTATGAATGATATTTGCCCACCCGCGGCTCATGTAACATGTAATGGTGTGTCGTGTGTGGTCCAATGTGCCTAATAACCATGCTAAATGTCACTTTTTCAATTGATTCATGGTAGTAAATGAAGTCAGCATATTTCAACCTGAATAGCAACATGGAATAAGTAGCATGTCAAGAAAAATGCATAGTACCCTTTCATATCCTAGCATGGCCATAATAGGTTGAGTAATGTCTGGTTAAGATCCATTTACACCTAACTTCCCCTAGTTTCCTCATTCTTCTTCAGAATTCAGATCCATTTACGCCTCACTTCCCCTCGTTTCCTCATTCTTACTCTACCCAGGATCAGTTCCAATAAAAAACAGTTGAAAGAAACAAATAGGGAGACCATCCATGCAATAGAAGATGGCAACTGCCAACTGGTTATAAGTGTCAGCAATAAGTTTCATACTGTCATGGAGCAGAGAGCTGTCAGCTAACTCAAGACTAAATCCTATACGTAAACAATGGCACGTCAAGTATTCCACACATGTATGGACAAAATATTACTAAAAACTTTCATCTCTGGAAATAACGGCAATTAGATATCAGTGGGCAATTAGATATCGGGGGTCAAACACTTACAAAGAACTCGAGACGAAACCAAGTGAAATGTTCCCTTCACCACGCTTTATAGAAGCAGAAGAGCCTTCTCATTGCCTTCCTACTCATTCTAGGGAACATCGATGATATTCGTACCATTATAACAGAGCCTTCAGGGTACCTAGTTCTATTAGCATTATGCAAAAAATCAATCGACAAAAACTTCCACGACAATAGACAAAGAAACAATACTAGTACTATGCAATCATATTTTCCACTGGACAGACAAATACTAGTACTATCTTCACGCTACATAGAATTAAGAAACATACATCACATTGCTGGCATGTCGAAATTAAGACATCTAAAGGCGAACCCCAACATTTGCATACGGAAGCCCCAAGGCCAAAATCATCTCTTTTTTTTTTTTTTTT